GAGTACTGGGATTACAGGCGTGCACCACCACGCCCGGCTCTTGGCTTCATCAATCTTTTTATAGTATTTAGATTCTGCCTGTTATTTTTTTCTTTTTTTTTTTTCTTTTTTTCCAGTGCCGGGAACCGAACTCACGACCTTGCGCTTGCCAGGCAGGTGCTGTGCCACTGAGCAAAACCCCCAACCCCTCTGCCTGTTATTTTAGAACTCTCAGGACCAAGTCCAAATCCTTTGAAATGCCACATAAGGCCCTTGCTCCGATGTGGCAGGGGTGTCTCCCCATGAGTTCTATGTTTTAGTCATAAAAATGTCCTGGCAGTCATCTGAAGAGGTCAAGCACAGTCACGCCGTGTGACTCCACGTCTCTGTGCACACAAACATCCCAGGGTACTCCTAGCCTCCTTTTCTATAGTAATAGAGCATCCATGTTTTTAGCTGGGTCCTCAGCCAGGAGTCTCTTTTCCAGCCTCTCTTGCAGCTAGAACTTGTAGCCAATGGGCTAAGAATGAAAATGACTCACACACCCTTCTGTGTTGTTCCTGTAAAGGGAAGGTCGTATCTTTTTTTTTTTTTTTGAGACAGGGTCTTAGTATGTAATTTGGGCTGGCCCTGAACTCACTCTGTAGCCCAGGCCAGCTTAGGACTTACAGTGATCCTCCCAAGGGCTGGCATTACAGGTGGACACCACCATGCCTGACTTCTTTTATGCTATTTTTGTTTTTTTTCTTGGTCTTTTTGAGACAGGGTCTCGTTACGCAGTTCAAGCTGGCTTTGAGCTCACTTTGTAGCCCCGGCTGGTCTTGAACTTGCAATGATCCTCCTGCCTCAGCCTCCCGAGTGCTGGGATGACAGGTGTGGGCCACCACACCCATATGTTTTTCTCTTCTATGGAAGTGTCTTGAGGACAGGAACATACCTTAATAAGTACCTAGCATAAACTTAATAAATGTTTGTTGAGTAAACCAAATTATGTGAACAGCCACTGGAGCATCTGATTTATAAAAAGATGCAATGAATTTTGAAGTAGACAAATTACCATTTTCAAAAAGCATCACAAAGTGAATGTATTTAACCATACTCAGCTGGTAACAACAGCAAATGGGTGAGTAGTAATGCATTCTATAGCATGTTGAATGAACTGAAGACAGAAAGTTGGTCAGAGGGAGGCGGACGAACTTTGTCTTGTAAAAATTAGAACCGAGGGGCTCCATAATCATCTGGCATCCGCTCGATGTTGTATCTGATCAGGACAGAAAATTAACACTGGTAAGAACAGTGAGTGCAGAACCCATCTAAAAACTCATCCGTTACCGACTGCAACTCTCTTATCCCTCACGTGAATCCTTTTTGTCACGGGTAACATTGTAGTGGAACCTCACCATGAATGACCTTCAGCTAAATGCTGACCATATTGTTTTTATTCTTCAATGTCACAAAGTTATCAAGTGGGAGTCGAGATCTGAGTACAGAGAAATCCAACTATTTAGCACACTGTATTATCCCCAAGCTGCAAAGCTGGACGATAGTAAGACTGCCATGGAAACATCCAGGAATGCTAAAGAACAGCTTTTGGGGTTTTTTTTGCAGGGGGGGCACCAAACTCAGAATCTCATGTTTGCCAGGCAGGTGCTGTGCCACTGAGCTAAATCCCCAGAGCAGCTTTCGGGGTTTTTAAAAATAAGCTTTTTGTTTGCCATATGAAGTGCTAATCAAAGATTATTTTTCAAAAAAGACATTGTTATAAATTATCTTAAAAAAAAAAAAAAAAAGATATCCTTCCAAAACGATCAGCTTTATCTAAAATAATGCTCTGTACTGAAAGCAATACATTTATCTGTTCTGGTATTCTTACTGTAACAATTTCAAGGGCTGCTTCATTCCGAAGTCTTGCTTTCCCTCTGCCCTTGTTCTTGCTACTTTGTCTTACTCCTTCAAATATAACCATATAAACATCTGACATAGCAATTACCTTGAAATTCTTCTGTAATCTTATAACTGGCCTCATTTTTAATTGCATACTTACATGTCAACTGCATCCTTCTAATCCTTTCCCAAGAGCAATTTCTCACCTGTGGTTAGAAATGTACATGATAGGAACTCCAGGGATCTTCCGGATTCTCCGTTTAAGGTCCCGGTCAACCGTGGCCACAATATAACACTTGTGCTGAAAGAATCACCCACTGATGTTCACAATGTTCACTATGCTTAATACTATTAGAAAACAGCACAATCACTGACTAGCCTGAAGAATCATTCATTTTCAAAGTAATTAGCAAAAGGAAGGCTGTAACAATTTGCTGAATACCTACTATGATCTTGGAGCTCATGTTTATAAATATGTAACAAGTTGCCTGGGTTAAATAGGATTTTGAGAATCCCCTCCCCCCCTCTGAGGATTGAACCAGGGGCCTTTGCCCTGAGCTACATCCCAGCCCTTTATTTTTCTGCTTGAGACAGGGTCTCACTATGTCATTAAATCGCCCAGGTTGGGCTTGAACTTGTCATCCTCCTGCCTAGCCTCCCAGAGTGCTGGGACTACAGGCACAACATACCACCAGTACACTACTAGCAGCTCTAAGAATGCTGAGGAGGTATAAATAAAACAAAACAAACCCCCCCAAATCCAAAAAGAACACCTGTTTTCAAGCTGCAAACCACTTTCCATCTCTTAAGTGAAAGAGATGTTCACAGGGCAGATAATCCTTAGTTTTGAGAAAACGCCCAGGGACACCATGCAAATGCAGAGTGAGTACCTGAGACAGGAGGCCCAGCTCCCTCCTTCCGTGACCTCAGGGCTTAGGCACTCTGGTTCTCAGCCCTCTTAGCGGTGCAGAGAAGCTGCTCTCTAGCTCAGAGAAGGGGAGCTCTGGGATGGGAAGTTAGGGCTCAGCCGCTCCGAGGGCTGCGTCATTTGGGTGTCAGCTGCGAGTTAGTTTGTGTTGGACTTTACTTCTACCACATCCAAATCCCCACCGAGGCTTATAAAATATCACATCGTGGTGCCGTCTGTGCCGTGGGAAAGCAAGGGAAATGCCAGACCCTTCTATGGGATGGAGTGGCTAAAGGTTAGCACGGTCCGCAGATAAAGATGATCATCTTCAATGAGAGAGCCCTCCCGCCCCGCAAGAGGGCTCAAACCCAGGGCCTGGCACATGCCAGGCAATTGCTCTACTCGTGAACTAAACCCCAGCTCAAGACAAGTTCTTTGTTTTTTTGTTCCTTTTGAGACAGGGTCTCGCTATGCAGTTCAGGCTGGCCTTGAGCTCACTCTGTAGCCCAGGCTGGTCTCACACTCGCAATGATTCTCCTGCCTCAGCCTCCCTCCCGAATGGTGGAATTACAGGCATGAGCCACCTCGCCTGGCTCAACACAGGTTCTTATAGGGTGGGGATGGTGGCACATATGTATAATTCCAACTACTTGGGAGTCCAAGGGAGGAGGATCGTAAGTTTGAGGCCAGCCTGGGCAACTTGATGGGATTCTGTCTGAGAGTAAATTAAAGAAAAAAAAAAGGTTGAGGATGTACTTTGGGACTTCCTGGGTTCAAATCTTCAGTACCCTCCCCACACATGCCTGCAAATATAAACACAAGAACAAGCAGTAGTAGCAGTTCTTATGTTTGATAAGGATCCCAGAATAGGAGACTTCAAAGCCTATTTATTCCAGTATGTGGGATAGCACTCTGGAAGCTTCCCCGATGCTACTGAAGAACATTTCTGGGCCAGGCACGATGGAGAGGGACAAATTTTTTGCATGGTGAGAAAATGAAACCTTATTTAAGATTCAGAGGGAAAAAGAAGCTGACATATTATTTCAACTACATTAACTCACTTAAACCTATTAACAGACTTGTGCAATGAAAACTAGTAAGTGTCTCAAATTCTCCACCCAGTCCACGCAAACGCTGGGATTTGAAACCTCACTTTCTCCCCAGTTTCAACCCACTTTTACGTAAATGAGGACGCCTATGCTTTCCATGAAGGAATACTAATATACAGTCACTTAGATTCCTAGACACTTTACTCACCCTGAACATTGAGGAGATAAGAGTTCATTTTTTTTTTAAAGCTCAAATAAACATTTAAAAACTGATGATACCTGAGTTACTCTCTGCACTAAGCAATCATCTGCGTAGGTCCCTTTATGTGTGCAAGGTAATCGTTCAAATCGTGGATCCTTGGCAATCCTGCAAGGTTATAAAAGTCAATTAAAGAAGAGTGAAAGCAATTGGTAACTTCTGTGCCTCAATCAGTGAAACGAAAGTACCATGACTTACGTGGGTTTTTCAGGCACCCTCTCCTCTGAAAGCTTACCCCTTCACTGGAATGACAATTTACAGGAAAGGGAGCCATAGCTCTGACAGCTGGTGTGCCTAGGGTCATTTAATCACCACAAAACCTAATTACTTCATTTCCATCTTACAGAAGAAGAAGCAAGTTCAGGAAGGTTAATTTGTGGAAACCAACACAGCAGGAAAAAGCCAAGATTCAGAACCAAGTCAAATTCAACCCAAACGTTTCACTTTTAGGAAGTTGTCTTACACAAATGTTCTAGAAGACAGGCACAAAAATGGACACTACCACACCTTCTAAGAGTGAAAAACCAGAAATAATCTAAATGTCCACTCACAAGGTAAAAGTTAAAAACATTTTGGTGCTCCTGTCCTATTAAAAAAAAATGAGGTACAGCTGCAGGTATGAGGAACCTATCTAAACCTGAATAAACAAAACAGGCCAGTGAAATGTATGTGCATTTCCTGTCACTTTCTTAAGCAGTTCCGAAGCCCTGCTTTGTGAGCGTCTTTTGTTGTGTTCCCTGTCCTGCACGGATGCACACGTTCACCTTTTGCGGTCACTTTGATTTTGGGGAAGAGCCAGAAGCCACATGGTGCCAGATTCGGTAAACAATGTACATGAGGTCATTCCTTATTGTTTTTAAGAGCCTGCCTTCCCATTGGATGGGGCTTGGAAGTGGCATTCACCATAGTTTTGATCATACCTTAAAAAGACACTTAAAAAAGATGACTTCCACAACTGTTTCAGAAAGTGCAAGAAAGATGGGAGGAGAGTGTTCAAATCGTGGGGGAGTCATCTGAGGGGTATAAATGATAATTTACTTTTTACTGTAATTTCCCTGATAGTCTTTCCTTAGATTTGCATTTATATAACAAAAGTCTATCAAAAATATTTTTACATATGTATGTATACAAAATTTACTAACCCTTCTCAGTTACCAGTCTTGGGATAGGAGAATGGAAAAAGTAAACGTGGAAAAGGACTTTTACTTTTTACTATCTGTATCTCATAGTTTGCCATACTAATTCACAGGCATCATTTTCATACAAATGAGAAAAGGAAGATCCCAAGTCTGTGATTCCCGGAGCTGTGTGCTTCACTTGTGCTTTCTACTACACAATGCTGAGTCACAGAAAGGAACAAAAACACCAAGTAACACGCAGGTACTGGGCACTCAACAACGCTCCGTCTTGCAGTATGGCGTGGCACTTTAGTGTGGTGCTGTATTTAGAAAAAAGACGTGGAGATAAAACAAGATGGAGATGAGGATGCGCCGAGCACAGCGCGCAGAGGGCGCGCTGCGTCCTGGGAACACGGCGCACAGCCCGCGGGAAGGGGCTGGTCACGAGGAGGGCGACTGAGGCTCAGGGGAGTCGCGGGTGGAGCACGGGTTTTGCGCCGAGGTGCGGGGCGGGCGGGGGAGGCTGCCTCGGGACACAGCGACGGAAGCCCAGCTCTGTCCGGGAGACCAGGGGGCGGGTGAGGAGGCACTGGAAGGCGGGTCGGCGGCGGCCCAGGCCGCGGCTCTTCCCGTGAGACCTGCCACTTCTGGGGCCGCGTCTCCTCCCGTCTGCTGGCTCTTTCGGAAACACACCAGCACGCTCCATCCTCGCCATTTCTCCCCTTCCATTCTTTATTATCTTAAAAACAATTACCTCTTCCCCCTTTTAATTTGAACTGTTTCATGCAGACAAAAAAGGGTAAAGATGACGAACTCCTCATACCCACTATTAGTAAGTGTTGCGCTGAAGAAACGAAATGTTACAAATAAAAAGCAGCCTCTTCTCCAGTCCTACCCGATATGCCCTTCCATGAATAACTGATTAGCTCCAGTTTTGTATCTATCATTCCCATGTACACGTTTTACTACATGCAAAGAATACATAATGTTGCATATGTATATACTGATAAACAACAATAGTACCGGTTTGCTTTTTAAAAATTAATTAGTTAATTATTTCTTTTATTTTAAAGAGAATAGTTAAAAGAATAGCAACATACCAACATCACAAACATAAACAAAACAAAGCAAGAACGTTAAAAATGATACAGGGTTTCAAAACAAAATGACAAGAATTAACAGTAGTTGTTATATTACATATTGTTATCTTCCACTATGTTGCTCAGATTACCAGATGTTAGTCACTTTTTTTTTTTTTTTGAGAGGGTCTTGGTGGTAGCCTCAAACTCATTGCAATCCTCCTACTTCTGCCTCTCAAGTGCTAGAATTACAGGCATGTGCCACCGCACTTAGCTGCGTGTATTTTTTTTTTTGCCTTTTTGAGACAGGGTTTCACTATGCAGTTTAGGCTGGCCTTGAACTCACTAGCTAGCCAAGCGGGCCTTGAACTCACAGCAATCCTCCTGCCTCAGCCTCCCGAGTGCTGGGATTACAGGCAGACACCACCACACCCAGCTTTTGGCTGCATGTTTTTAAACTTTAGATAAAGCGGTGTGCACCATGTATGCTCTTGCTTCATTTGGTTTACACTGTTTTTAGTATTTACCTACACTGATATATAATTCTAGTCTACTCATTTTCACTTCCATATAGCATTTTATTTAACAACATTCCTTAATTTATCTATTGTCCCACCACTCTATCCTATGCTAGGGATTGAAATCAGGGCCTTTCCCCTGAGCGAGCTGTTCATACATCTGTCCATCCATTTATTTATTTATTTAGTACTGGCAACAGAACTCAGGACCTTGTGCTTGCCAGGCAGGCACTGTGCTGCTGAGTTTGT